TATTATATGTTCCTCTTAGCTTTTGGTAGTTATTTTTTAAACAAATCTTTAAAAAATAATCTTATTTATTTAGACAGAAAGAAATATCTGTTGTCCCACTTATTTATTCTTTCTTGTTTGCTTCTTATATGTGCCCGAACTGGGATTCAAACACACAACCTTGGCATACCTGGACCATGCTCTAACCAACTGAGCTCCCACGCAGGGCGATACTTTCATTTTTGGATTTTTGGTTTGTTCTTGTTGTCGACACGATTAGCGATGTGGTAGTATTTTTTCCTTATGTAAATCCTGCCCACTTTAGACATATCAGGGATTTTTCATTTTTTATTGTGATAGAATATTTTTCCATTATAATTATAAATGATTATTATATTAATATCTTTACAGTTGACAATCAGACTGAAGACGTTTTCAAGATGTACTTTTGTAACTGGTGAAGGAGTTGACAGTTTATGGCAGGTTCGCAGGGAAGGCAAACTGGATGGTAAAGATTTCACCAGAAAGATGTAATATTGAGGAATTTTTTTGATGCAGATGAAAAAACAAGAAAAGTAAAATGCAAGCAAGAGAGGCTGTTTTTATTGAAGGGTAAATTTTTTTTTAATGACATAAAATACCTATTTTTTCCTCAAATCCCTTTAGCCAAATTTTTCAGTAATTCGCTTACTGAGCTTATCATCTTCACCAGTATGAAGCCTCTTGTGCTCCATACATGTTCCATATTCTTTAAGATTTACAAACTTAAAATCTAAATACACATTTCCCCTTGCTTTCATCTTTCTCTATCAGCAACTCCTGTCTTTCCATCTTTATTCCATTTCTTAGGAAGGTAAACTAGGTTGACTCCATATTCCACAGTAACTGGTATGAACATGTGCGCCCCCACAGAGACTCCTGTTAGTGTAGTTCTTGATGCAGCAACTCCAATAGGACCACGCCTGCTGTGGTGGGTGAAACGCACAGGAGCAGGAGCAGGCCCAGGGCAACAGCTAACGCAAACCCAGCTGACTCAGAGCGCACCACATCCCTACTGCATTTGCTAATGATTTCAGGAGCTAGCCAAAATGAAGAGTAACAGAAACCAACACTGCATAAAACGCACCAGGAAAATGTGAAAGTTTGGTACACACATCTTACAGCAAGACAAACACATAGATTTTAATTTAGGGAGTTATTCTTCTGAGGCCATTTATTGCCATTTTGTTCTTTGGTTCAATAGTTCGCAAAATTGCTTGGAAATGGAAACCCGGAAGCTGAATGCCTGGACCTTCCACAAAAATTGCTGCTGGTGAAGGGGTCCCTGCTGAGGGACGAGTGCCTTCATTGGTAAAAGAACAATTAACCAAATCAACAACAAAAAATTCTCAAGATGACTCAGCTTAGCTAGACCAACTGGTTTTTGGGCATGGGAATGGTTTCAACGATGATGACCAAGCATTTGCCTCCCTCAGCAGCCCAATTAGAAAATGACCTATTGTACCCTATTTGCTCCTCAGATTTACAGGAGAGGCTCTCTGTAGTGACATGTGACGAGAAGGCTCTGACATTCCTGATTCAGCCTGCATTGAGGATCAAAGACATGACCCGGCTGCAGAGAGGTAGGAACCAGTCACCAGGACTCCAGGTCAGTGGACCCTAGAGTTTCTCTATGGACCAGAGATAGAGTAAACGTTAGGCCAACTCTGAGTGTCTGCATTTCCTTGGACAAACAAGCAATTGGAATTTAAAATTTCCCATTCCTAGATTTTTGTAAAACTAATTTTGTACCCAGAGCAGATGCCCTGTAGTAAGGTATTGCTTGGAATCCTCATGCGTATCTAAGACTCAAATAATGCCCTGGTTCTGCTTTCCTGCACACTCATTTAAGTTATGCTAATGGAATTCATAATGTGTAGACTAGTATTTATTTTGTAATGAAAAATGACTGAGAGATGGATGCCTTACCAAATCCCTTAGCAAACATTTTCCAATTCCAGTTCAAAGGCTGTCATTAATGTGTTTTCCCTGTAAGAGTAACCAAGAAACATGTGGAACACTCTTCCACAACCGATTCATTTGTTCTCTGGGATGTGCAAAACCAGGGCAGACTTGAAAATGACCTGAACTTTGAATGTCCTTGTGAGCCAACACACAGATCCATCAGCAGGTGCAAGTCCTAACTGAAGAGGTGCAAAGAGAACTTTGGTCCAATCTTTGGCTGAATACTAAGCAATGCAGACCCAGCAGCAAATCTTAGGAAGCAAGAGTTAAACATTTTATAAATGGACAGACACGAATGTCTGCACACTCCAAAAGGGACAAACTTCACAAATTTGCTGGAGGAAACTTATTAAACAAAACAAGGACAACCCTTTAAAAAGAAAATCGACTCCATATTGCAACACTAGCTGAAATTCAATAAGATTAGAAAGAAAAAAAAATTAGAAAACAAAGAAATAAGAAAATGTGACCCTTACTAAGGAAGAAATAGAAACTATCTCCTCAAGATGTTGAATTTATCATAGACTTAAATGCATCTGTTGTGAACGTGTTCAAAGAACTAGTGGAAGCCATGTTTAAAGAATTAATGAAAATGATGATGAAAAGAATGCAATGTATGGAGAATCTCTATTAAGATAGAGAGTATATGAAAGGCCAAATAGAATTTGGAGATGAAGAATACAATGATCTGAAACTCATTGATTTGACATGGTAGAAGAAAGAATGAATTGACCCTGAAGAATCAAAAGAAATTATTCAATCTGAAGAGAAGAGAGAAAACAATGAAGAAAAGTAACAAAGCCTGAGAGACCAGATCAATACCAAGTGTTTCAACACATTTGCAAGAACAATCCCAGAAGAGAGACAATAAAGGACAGATAAGTATATTTGAAAAAACTAATTGTCAAAAAAATTCTCAAATTTGCCGTGGCCGGGTGGCTCAGTTGGTTGGAACATTATCCCATACACCAAAACACTGTGGGTTCAATTCCTGTAAGGGCACATACCTAAGTTGTAGTTCTGATCCCTGGTCAGGGTGTGTATGGAGGCAACATATAAATGGTTCTCTTTCACAATGGTGTTTCTCTCTCTAAAATCAATAAACATATCCTCAGATGAAGATAAAAAAACAAACTCATGTTTGATGAAAAACATAATGAACATATCACAGTCCAACTATTAAAAGTAAAGGCTGAGAAAAACTTCTTAAAAATAAGAGATAAACAACCTATCACCAAAGGAGACCAAAATTTTGATTAATAGCTAACTTCTCTCCAAAAATAATGGAAGTGTCTCTGGGGTAACATATTCAAAGTTATTTAAAAAAAACAAAACTGCCAGTCCAGTATGGCTCATTGGTTGAGCATCAACCTATGAACCAGGAGGTCACAGTTCAATTCTCAGTCAGGGCGCATGCCAGGGTTGCTGGCTTGATTTCCAGTAGATGGCATGCAGGAGGCAGCCAATCAATGATTCTCTCTCATCATTGATGTTTCTCTCACTCTCCCTTCCTCTCTGAAATCAATAAAAAATAAATTTTTAAAAAAGAAAATCTTTAAAAAAATAAAAAAGGTCAGTCCATGTATTATGCTATACCCAGCAAAACTATTCTTTAAAAAAGGCAAATTAAAGATATTCCCAACAAAGACTGAAAATATAAGATAGCAGTATAGTATTGTATTGTTGAGTTGTAATATATAAAGATATTACAAATGACAATAGCACAAAGAGAAGAAAATGCTAAAATATAGTTAATCCATGTTACCAGAATTAAATTTGTATTATTTTGAAGTGTACTATGATAAGTTGACGTGTATTATCATCCCTAGAGCAACCACTAAAATGTAACTTAAATAAAAGAGGAACAGGAGACCTCTTTAGCTATGAAAAAAACAGAAAACAAAAAGTGATATAGCAGATATTATAAACAACTATATCAATATTAAACATGAATGAACCATACCCAACTGAAATAACAGAAGAGATTGCCAGACTGGAATTTAAAAAAGCAAGATCCAGCTGATAAAGGACTTGCAGTCACAATATGTGATTTCTTAAAATGAATAAAACAACAGTGCAATATACAGATGATGATGTACTGTAGAACTGTATACCAGAAACCTACATAATTTTACTGACCGATGTCACCCCAATACATTCAAATTTTTAAAAAAAGAAGAAGAAGACTATAAGAAGTACTGTACAAGATGTGGAGACACTGGAACCCTCAAACACTGGTGGTTGGAATATAATATTGTTGTATAGTTATTTTGGAAACAATTCCTCAGGTTCATAAAAGTTACCACATGACTCATCAACTTTAATCCTAGAAGTCTACCAGGAGAAATGAAACACAAATCCACACAAAGACATGTACACACATATACATATACACACACAAAGAGGGAGAGGGTGGAAGGGAAGAGCAAAAGGGAGGCGGCAATAGAAAATTAGGCAAATGAACACAACTAATGAATCTCTGTCAAGAGTAAATGGAAATAACTTCTATTATTCTGTTAACATTTCTGTACGTTTGAAATTACATCAAATTTAAAATTATTTTTAAAAGGGGCACAAATATCATGTGGCAAGTTCCTGCAATCAACATCCTCAATGAAGACCATATACAGCTTAAAAGTTATTAGAAAACTACAGGTAATTTTAATAAAATCACTTCAAGAATATAATTTGGTTAAATATAAAAAGCAATAAAATATACTCTAATTTTTCTATTGAGTTAAATAAATTTGTAAATCCTGTAACAGCATGTTCATATTCACAAAATCTGAATGAAAAACAAACACAATTTTCCATTTCTGATACAGTGTAATTCAAAAGTTCATTTTGAAGGGGACTGAGCTTTTGATCTAATTTTCCTTTCAATATCAAGCATCATTATATACTTATTCAAAATTGGAAGTGTCATTTTTTTATGTAACAAAAGACTGCAGTCCTGAAATAAATTTCATTAGTGACCATGATAATGTTAAAAAAAAAAAGACCACAAAAATGCATGGTACATTTTTAAAAGTTTATAATCACTTAATTCTGATTGTACCTTTACATTTACAATTCACTATTTTTAAGATTTTTTTTTTTTAAACACAATTTTATATGTGGACAATCTGGAGCATAATTAAGTGTATCTTAATGAAGTTTCCACAGATGTATGTAGAAATATGGTGTACCAGCAGCCAAATAGCATCACTTCTTTATCAAAGATCAATGGTACTACCTAAAAATGAGGACAATTCTTCAACAATTTCATTTTTTCTAAGTAAAAAGACTTCCAAGGAGCTCAAGGCACAATTTTATTCACATCTAGTAGAGTAACCCAGCATAAAATCATTATTCATGTGCAACTTAATAACTGATGGACATTTCTCAAACAAGCTGTTTCAATCCTGATAGTTCTTTATTTTCTTTAACATAGTTGCTATGGATTGCTAATTTGCAATAGGTGTCATCATGAGAATAACCAAAAGTAGATAAATGTGACAAAAGGTTGAGAAAGTGTTTCACACACTTGAGTGATACCAGGTCAAAAATGGGAGAGAAGTGTTGCAAAAGGAGAGTACTGCAATGCTACTTATATTCTTGCAGTAAAACCAGCAATGGACCCATTTCAAGAGAGATCACCTCAATTCCAATTTCTTCCCTTCAAGAACAATTTGAATCTCTTTGGCATCCAAAGTCTCGTAGGTCAATAAAGCTTCTGCTAGATTCTTATGCTCTTTTGCATGAGTCTTCAAGATATGTTTTGCTCGTTCATATGAGTCCTAAAATAGAAAAGCAGATCTATAAGAGGCAAAAAAAACTTAGGAGAAGCAAAAGCCATAAGAGAGAAAAGAAAAAATCTATGTACCCTAAAAATGTGTATCAATTTATTTCTATTTATAAAGATAAAAGCATTTAAAAAAATTTTTATTGATTTTAGAGAGGAGAGAAACATCAATTTGTTTTTTTCTTATTTAATCCTCACCCGAGGATAAGCATAGAGAGAGGAAGGGAGAAAGAGAGAATCATGGATGTGTGAGAGAAACATCAATTGGTGGCCCTCCTTATGTGCCATGACCAAGAATTGAACCAACAACCTTTGGTGCACAGGACCATGCTCAACCATGGAGCCACTCCAGCCTGGCCATTGGCTGACTCTCATACGTGCCCTGTCCAGGGATCGAATCCATAAACTCAACTTATCTGGACAACGCAACTAAGCTACCCAGCTAAGGCAAATAAAAACATATAAAAGCTTGGTTCCCAAAAATAATACTTTTGTACTTTCCAAATGTTTTATTTTTTACCTCAAAATCTATCACATAGGAAAATTATTACCTAGGTCAAGAGGTACTTTAAAAAATTAAAGTATACTTTGTATTTATCTGCTTTTTAAATAAGGCCTCTGAACATAGAAATCTATTTATCTATTCAGTATGTATGTTTAAAAAGAAGGAAATTTGCTCCTTTTGCCTCTTGATTTCACTGATTTATTTAACAGCCAGAAAAGACCTATTATTTCTGTTTTTCACTTGTATAATATACTTTCTTGTTAATTTGTGACAACTATAACAGTATTACTACAGCTGATCCCTGATTTCCATACATTTTTCTTTGCAATCCACCTTGAATTTGTCACTTAAGTCCTTCAACTGTCTTTCCAAAAGTGAGTTTGGGTTGAGTTTATCAGGTCGTAAAATAAAGACACTACTAACAATTCATTTATGGCAGTGTCACATTTGTCTGTACAATGTTTTTGCCAATATTTTTATATTTAGTCATATTTTTGCCCTTATAAAAATGGGTGGAAAAGAACTTGGGCCAGTGTTGACTGGCCCCCAGGCCTCCTGGCCATCCTAGCCAGCTGGCACAGCAGGGGTGGCTAACGGCTCTGACCACAAGACCACGCCTGGGATTGGGCCCAGGGATAGAGGTGAGCCCCACCTGCCGCTCTGCCTGAGATCCTGGGGTTGATCTGAGGATCCCTCTCAAGCCAAAAAGCCAGGACCTTTGCAAATCCATTGATTCTGGCTGGTCCCAGTCTTCGGGGACCCACGCCACCATCACAAGTAGCAGAAGAGGATTTCTGGGCTGATCCTTACCAACACAGATGATGTAAACACTCTGAACCGTGATGTTTTTGTATCAATGTTTGTGCAATAATGAATGTACTCCCTCTTCTATCAAGCTCTACTCCTTTCAAGTTCATGCTATTTGACTACAGCCTTACCCAACAGCCTTCACTGTGCTAACTAAGTCCACATTCACTAAAGACTTCTGGCTCTTGGCTTAGTCTTCTCCATTCCAAGACCTACCTTCATGCAACCTCAAATAGAACCATATCCAACCTCTGAACTAGCTCCACATCCATGAATCTTTCCCAACTTTTAATCTTCACTACACTACCTCCAGTTCAACAAATATGAAACTGACCTTATGACCTACATCCTTGCCAGCCTTAGGCCATGACCAGTGTTTACTCAGTAAATGATACAACTGAGTTGCATGGGGCAGAAATCTAAAATATTGTTTTTAGATTCATAGCTGCTCTCTCAACCAAAATATCACAAAGGCATTTGGTTCCACTACATCAGTATCTCTTGAACCCACATGTTTCTCAATTTCTACATTTCACCACCCGAACCCGAGCATCCATTATACCGTGACTAGATGACCACAGTACCTACCAACTGATCTCACTGAATCTACTTTTACACACTCTTTTATCCTAATCTGTATTGAACCCTGCAGTCAATATGACCTTTGTTTTGCTTATTCAGTATTCTGAGCATATGCACACTGCTAGGCACAAGCAAATAACACATGCTGAATATATGTCAGAATGGGAAAACAATAAAGAATCAATAATATAGTTCATTCTAATAACTCTTATGGTTTTATAAATAAAAGAAAATTAAATATTTATAATCACTAATATAAACTGTTCTTAGTCTACAGTCAGAATAAAATAAAGATCCAGTCTATGTATGACCACAGGTCTCTAACAACATATTTAAATCAAGGTTGCCCCCTGGCCAGTGTTGCTCAATGATTAGTGTTGCTCAATGATTAGAGCATCGGTCTGTGCACCAAAGAAGTGTGGATTCGATTCCCAGTCAAGGCTCATCAAAGGCACATTCCTGGGTTCCAGGTTTGATTCCCAGCCCTGGTAGGGGCCTGTGTGGGAGGCAATTAATCAATGTGTCTCTCTCACACCTCTCTCTCTCTCTCTCTCTCTTTCTCTCTCACACACACACCTCCACCCCTCCACCCCAGCCCCATCCCTTCCACTCTTTCTAAAAATCAATGAAAAAAATATCCTCAGGTGAGGATTAACAAATAAATAAATAAATCATGGTTGAAATAGTGCACCTATTATCTTTATTATCTTTATTTCTAAAGAACAAAAGGGTTTAACCCAACTATTTAGGCACATTATGACTAAATAAATAAATGTAGAAAAATATGATCATTACCTTCAGAAGGATTCTGATTTCTTGTTCAATAGCTGATTGCGTTTCTGGACTTAGTTTCCCCGTATCACTGTAGGTCATAACTCCAAGCTAAAACAAATGGAAAGAAATTGAACAGAAAACAAAACAAAACAAAAAACTCCACAAATAAAACATAACAGAGGGCCCTAACCGTTTTGGCTCAGTGGATAGAGCGTCGACCTGTGGACTGAAAGGTCCCAGGTTCGATTCCGGTCAAGGGCATGTATCTAGGTTGCGTGCACATCCTCAGTAGGGGGTGTGCAGGAGGCAGCTGGTCGATGTTTCTCTCTCATCGATGTTTCTAACTCTCTATCCCTCTCCCTTCCTCTCTGTAAAAAATCAATAAAATATATTAAAAAAAAAAAAACACATAACAGAGGAAGTACCATCCTATACATAAGAAAACCAATTTCATGGAGGGAAATTAAGAAATTCAATATAAAATGGCCTTAAAGGCAAAGAAATTTTATCATTTTTCTGAAAGTATAACACTAAAACTAAAGTGTGAGCAAGACAGAAAATTTAAAATCATAAGTATGCTAGTGAGTGCCTTCTTAGAAAACTCTGGCAGCTATTCCAAGTCCAGAAATCCACAATTCAGAGTATTAGAATTGCTTCATGGAACCACAGCGATAATGCAAGAAAGTGAAAAGGGTAAAGTATGGCAGGCTCAGCAAGTAGATTTTTTATGTCATATGAATAGAAACGGCAAAGTATTTGTCTTACATTTTGTTAACTCATGAACGAATAATTATTAGTGTTCAAGTAGGTAGAATGGAAACAGAATACTAAACTACTCAGAAAATAAGGTTTAGTTTAGAATAAGCAAAGACAACTCCATTTGGAATGAGACAGAGGAAAGTAAATATTATCAATTTAAAATGAAAACCCTCTCTCAAGAGACACTTGGCACATATCATTGGAGACATGAGGAATAATAAAATTAGCCAATACCTTTTCACTCATTCCAAATTTGGTAACCATCCACTTTGCTATTTTAGTTGCATTATCAAAATCACTGGAAGCACCTAAAATTTTAAAATAAACATAGAACTCATTTTAAAAAAAATATCTTTAAACCAACAAACACAATTTGAACTAACGCCATTGTTTACAGCCAACCTGTTGTTATATGGTCAGTTCCAAATATAAGCTCCTCTGCCACTCTTCCTCCCATACTAACATCCATTTGTGCAAGCAGCTGAGCTCTGGTTTCATTCCACCTGTCATTCTCAGGCAACAGGGAAACCTAGACAATTGAAAAACCGAAAAAAATTCAGGGAGTTTTGGAACACCTACAAATAACCAGAATTATCATCTGGTCCTCCCACCTTACTTAATACCATGATGCTGAAAGCCCCAAGACATTTAGTAGAGATGACCATCAGGTGACTGATGACAAAACCAGCAATTTATAAAATAAGGAAAATTATTTTATAAGTAACAGGTAGATAATGCTGATATAGGACTCTTTTATCCTCTGTTGCACAAAAAAGCTTAAAATCTCTACAATTAGAAAGATATGAGAACAAAATTTGTACTCAATAAGAAAAATCTTAGAAAAACTACTGAGCCAGTACATTTCTTTTGTGGGGGGAAAAATGCAATTACATAACTAAGAATTATAATTTGCTGCTATTCCAGAATTAAATTTCATATTGTAATATATAATATCTGGAATATTAAGGATATTCTTTATTAAAAGATAAATTTCACAAGGATCTCTAATTTCAAGATGGTTCAGGAAGTTAAAGAAAATATCAACAGCCCTAGCTGGTTTGGCTCAGTTGTATAGAGCATCAGCCTGTGGACCGAAGAGTCCCAGGTTCGATTCTGGTCAAGGGCACATTCCTGGATTGTGGGCTCAATCCCCAGTAGGGGATGTGCAGGAGGCAACCAATCAATGATTCTCTGTCATCATTGATGTTTCTATCTCCCTCTCCCTTCCTCTCTGAAATCAATAAAAATACTTAAGAAAAAAAGAAAAGAAAGAAAGAAAATATCAACAGCCCTAGCTGATTTGGCTCAGTGGATAGAAGGGTCCTGGATTCGATTTCAGTCAAGGGCACATGTCAGGTTGCGGGCTCAATCCCCAGTGGGAGGCGTGCAGGAGGCAGCCGATCAATGATTCTCTCTCATCATTGATGTTTCTATCTCTCTATCCCTCTTCCTTCCTCTCTGAAATCAATAAAAATATATATTAAAAACATATGAGAAAATATCAAAAAATTTAGCAAGTAGCTGAATGTTGTCTTAAAAGGATTTTATCAGCAATTTCATGCATATCCTTCTGGAAAGTGCTATCTAAAAGCAAAGAAAAACTGCAAGATACTTACATGTCCAAGTGTTGGCCCTCGAGGCATGATTGTAGCTTTGTTGATAGGCATTGCATCTTTAGTGTAATATGCAATAATAGCATGGCCAGATTCATGATATGCAGTGATGGTTTTGTTTTTGTTATCGATTTCCACACTTCTACGTTCAGGCCCTAAAAGCAAAAAATTAATCAGGTTAAATGCTCCATTAGAGAGATATATTTAAAGGAATGAAACCTATCTGCTTCAAAGTTGTTCTCAGAGTAACATGATTTAATTTCATTAAGAAATATTTTAAACAAAGTAAAAGCTTAAAAATAAGTACATATTAACTACAATGTCAACTGAAAACCAAAATTGTTAGAACTATCATCTTACTCTCATAGCCAAAGGGAAAGCTTAATTATATTTCTAGAAATTAAACTTTCAATTTAAAAGGAATGTCTTATCTAACCTGTTTTGAAGCCAATTCATGAGTTATAGTAAAAAATACTAAGAAGAGTAAAATTAACTATCCTTTCATCAGCAATATTAGACAAGAGTAAAAACATAGGCACCCATGATCTACATTTGTCTGTGAGAGGCCAAATTGTTTTTCTTCATTCAAATATATATTTTCATGTCCCTATACATTTGTTTTTATTATTATTTGTTGTTGTTAATCCTCACCTGGGGATATTTTTTCCATTGATTTTTAGAAAGTGTAGAAAGGAGCAAGGTGGGGAAAGGGAGAGAGGGAAAGAGGGAAGGAGGAAAGGAAGGAAGGAGGAGGGAGGAGGAAGAAAAAGAGAAAAACATTGATGTCAGAGAGGCACATCGATTGGCTGCTTCCCACACCTGCCCCAATTGGGGCCCGTGATCTAACCTGCAACCCAAGTGCATGCCCCTGACTGGTCATCAAACCCTCAGCCCTTCAATTCTCAAGCCAAGATTCTAACCACAGAAAAACACTGGCAGGGCTACCTTTGTTTTATTAATAACCTCTCAAAATGAAGAATTTATTCTCTAACATACTGAATAGTATAAGACAGGAAAATAAAGAAAACCTACCCATTAGAATTTTATCTTTGGAAAATTCAAGTTCTTTCATGGTAACCATTTCTTTTCCATCAACAGCTGCCTTTAAAGCAGCTTGGTTCACAAGATTCTCCAACTCTGCTCCAGAGAAGCCAACAGTACCTCGAGCTATGATTTCTGGATCAACAGCTGTGTAGATATAACACAATATATTAAAGTTCCAAAACAGCCAAAAGAAAGTTTGCCAGAAAAAACCCAAATTCCGAAAGAAAAAAACAAAACAGCCATCGTGAACTATAATTTAAAATATTTATCTTAATTAAACTAAAAAATTTATTTTACTAACTTCTAAGGGGAAAAAGTCAAAATTGTTATAAGTATTACATTAAAACTGCCATTGGGACAAATAACAAAAGCTCTTAAATTTAAATAGCTTTGTGAAAAAACAAAGAAATGTAGAGTTATCTGATCATTTAAAAACCTTCAGTTATGACCTACATCATTAGTGGCCTAATGACAAATTGAAAAAGCATACTCATAGACATTTTTTTTTCCCCTAAAATTTCATTTTGAAATATTCTGGACATAAAAGCTCCCTTTATTATGGAAAACTTATTTGGTTTTTTGTTGTTTTTTTTTCCTTGATTCAGCTATCTTGAAAATACTGCAGCTTTAATAGCTGCTTTTATTACTCAGGTTGGTCCATGATATTTCCTTTCCATGTGTTTTGTTTCACAGGTGGTTTTCCCCTCCTTTGACACCAAAGGGACTATATCATGAGATACTGTGCTCATAATATGCAGGTGTTTTTTCTATTGTTTCATATTTTGCATTTATCTTTAAAAACATACATACATTCATCTTTAAGTATTATCTATCTGAATACTCAAAAGAAAACTTTCATTCGAATCAGAATTCAAAATGATAAAATCTACTGGATATGCATTAAGTATGAAATGGACTTTAAAAAAAAAAAAGGACATATAAATGCAAGAAAAAATGATGTATAAAGGAACTGGTCTTTTAAAACATTGCTCAAGTAACAACCACAAACAGGATGGATTGACATATTACCATTTTATGGAGATAACAATGTTTATATCATGGAATAAGACTTACACTGATCAAACTTTATTTTATTGAGATACCATTTCAAAATTTCTGTTCGACCTCTTACATCTGGCCTTGGAACTGTAACCTGCATGTCAAAACGACCAGGACGAATTAAGGCACTAAAGAGAAAATACAAAAAGAAAATGAAAATTAGTAAGCTGACTATGCTGAAGGTCAAGTTAAATAGGACCACCACACTCAGGAGAGGTTAGAAAGACAATGCAACCAGAGGTTAGATGGAGTTCTGAAGGTAAGTATTCAGATAGTTCCTTATAAAACATGGCTCAAGTAAGTTTTAATAACCAGAAGACAGAGCAAAGGTATACATTGATAAATGTGTACCTACAGACAGCAGACACCCCTCAGAAACAAAAATGTGCAGGTCAATCAGCCAGGGAACAGATAATTCTAAACCAGTCTATTAGAGTCTCAGGCAAAGACAAACTATCAGATGAAACAAAAATATGAATAACTTTTATAATAACATCAATAAAAATTTAAAATTATACTAAATTTTATTTTAAAAGTGCTCTCCAGCCCTAACTGGTTTGGCTCAGTCAATAAGGAGCATCGGCCTGCGGACTGAAAGGTCCCAGGTTCGATTCCAGTCAAGGGCATGTACCTTGGTTGAGGGCACATCCCCAGTGGAGAGTGTGCAGGAGGCAGCTGGTCGATGTTTCTCTCTCATCGATGTTTCTAGCTCTCTATCCCTCTCCCTTCCTTTCTGTAAAAAATCAATAAAATATATTTTTAAAAAATAAAAGTGCTCTCCACCCAAAAACGTTTTTGTGATATATAAGTTGTCAGAGGCCTTTTAACAGCTTTATTGAGTTAACTTACATATCACCAAATTTAAAGTAGGTAATCCAGCATGCTCTTCCTCTCTCTTGAGCAATTTCCCTTCCTCTGGGCTCCTTCTCTCGGCATTTCTTTTTCCTAAACCCCAAGTGCCCTTCTTTTGCCTCTGTGGCCTTTCCTGTGCCCACACAGCCCACCTGGCTTACCTTTTCTATTTCTGTGACTTTCTAAATAAACTTTCTCTTATAATTTAAAAAATCAGTGGATAATTCAAAGCTCTTTAATATACTCAGAATTCTGTAACCATCACCACAATCTAATTTTAGAATGTTTTCACCACCCCTCAAAAATAAAACACAAAAAACCATATCCACTGGTAGTCACTCCTCATTCTCCCCAGCCTCTGGCAACCATTAATCTATCTACTTTTTATTGCCCTGGATTTACTTATATTGGACATTTCATATAAAGGGAACCACATAATATATGATGTTTTGTGATGGACTTCCTCCCCTTAGCATCATATTTTTAAAGTTCATCCATGTTTCAACATATATCAGTACTTCACAAAAATTTTCTTTCAATACTTACTTATCTAATGCCTCTGGGAAGTTTGTGGCTCCAATGATGATAACTCCTTCATTGGGTTTAAAACTATTTAAAAAAAAAAAGTACTTTTTCACTAAAAATTAAAACAGCACACATATATAAATGCTCTACATAAAACTGTTTATCATTAATCTTAATAGCAAAGAAAAAGGATTGGTATTTTTATGCCCCAAATAATATCTTTATTTTTTAAAAGAAACAAATGTTAGCACAGTGTACTTCACTACAACTGCTAATATATAGTCACCAAATCATCTGTGATTATATACCTGCACAATATTTGTTTTACTTAGGAAGAGATGACCTGACACAAGAAGCTTGGGCACCTGACTAAATTTTTGAAAAATTATTTTCAAGTTTACCAATTTAAATTATATGCTCCTAAACTTCCTATTTGGTTCCAGAATGTGTTATAAGAAATATTTTTGCTTCTTTCCAAGCAACCCCACCTCTTGCTTTTTATATTATGAAAACTGGTGCAAGCTTTTAATCTGTCGCAACACTAAAATCTGGTCACAAATTGGGTAGGGACCAGCATACTCTCCCTTTACATCTCCAAATAGTATCAGCAGGAATCACTGCTTTCCTGTCATAATAAATAAAAAAGGTGCAACTATCACCAACCTAAATGAGTTGATAAATTAACTATGCTATTAGAATTCGAAACAATACAATCCTGAAAATAGCTTGTCTTGACCTTCTGCATGAAGGACTACTGTTGCCTACAAACATAAGATTTTTCCTCTCTCTAGAATGTTACCAAATATATTCCAAAGACAGAAGATTCAATTACCCATCCATTTCAGCAAGTAGTTGATTTATAGTCTGCCTTGAATATGGATGCATTGGAGATTCAATTCGCTTCCCACCAACAGAATCTAATTCATCGATGAATATAACACAAGGAGCATTCGCTTTTGCTTCCCCTAGGAAAACAGAAAAGATTCAAATTTTATCTTTTTTTTTTTTTTAAATATATTTTATTGATTTTTTACAGAGAGGAAGGGAGAGAGATAGAGTTAGAAACATCGATGAGAGAGAAACATCGATCAGCCGCCTCCTGCACATCTCCCACTGGGGATGTGCCCGCAACCCAGGTACATGCCCTTGACCGGAATCGAACCCGGGACCCCTCAGTCCGCAGGCCGATGCTCTATCCACTGAGCCAAACCGGTTTCGGCAAGATTCAAATTTTAATGAAAAATCATATAAATATTAAAAACCTGCAAAATTGTCAAAAGCCAACAAAAAGTATTAGGGAGGAAATACAACAAAACGGATTTCGTTGTGTTCTCTCTTTTTTTTTCTCAATGATGAAGAACAATAGCCTTAGGGTACTCTTCTCCCCTCCCCATGTGGGAATCTGTACGGTGAGATTCTTTCCCCTTCCCCACGTGGCTAAAAGAAAAAAAAAAGAACAATAACCTCAGAAGGAAAAAAATAATTATACCATAAAGAATGATATATATTAAAAACAGCCGTAGCCCACATGGCTAAGTGGTTAGAGCATCGGCCTATGTACCAGAGGATCAAGGGTTCGATTCCCAGTCAAGAGCATGTACCTGGGTTGCAGGTTCGATCCCCAGCCCCAGTCAGGGTATGTGTGGGAGGCAACCACACACAGATGTTTCTTTCTCTCTTCTCTCTCCCCCTAACACTCCCCTTCACCCTCTCTAAAAATTGATGGAAAGCCTTAGCCAGTTTGGCTCAGTGACTAGAGTGTCGGCCTGTGGGCCAAGGGGTTCTGGGTTCAATTCCGGTCAAGGGCACGTACCTCGGTTGCAGGCTCCTCCCTGGCCCAGGCCCTGGTCGGGGCACATGCAGGAGGCAACCAATCGATGTGTTTCTCTCATATCAATATTTCTCTCTGTCTTTCCCTTTCCTCTTCCACTCTCTCTAAAAATCAATGGAAAAATTTCCTCGAGTGAGGATTAAAAAATAATAATAGATAAAAATAAAAATCGATGGAAAGAATATCCTCCGGTGATGATCAACAAACAAACAAGTAAATAGAAACAACTGTGTATTCACTCATTCTTCCTACTTGTTTCAACTATATACAATCAGGTTTGAGGTTAATTACATACTATAGAAATGATGAACTAAATAAAAAACAAAACAAAAAGACCCAGCTTTTCTGCAGCGCCCAACTACATCTAACACTTCCATTAGCTACTGTGACTGTATTTGGGAAAAAAATACAGTTCTGTTTTAGCTCACTTATGAGATCCCCTGAAACCAGCCCGGCCAGCATGGCTCAGAAGTTGAGTATCAACCAATGTACTGGGAGGTCACGGTTCAATTCCTGGTCAGGGCACATGCCCCGGTTGCAGGCTCAATCTCCAGTAGGGGGTGTGTGTGCAAGAGGCAGCCGATCAATTCTCTCACATCATCATCTCTCTCTCTCCTTCTCCCTTCCTCTCTGAAATAAAAAAAAAAAAAAATTTTTTTTAATTCTCTGAAACCAGAACCCCCAAATAGCTTTGTTCAGCTGAATAACAATCTTAAGTAGAAAGAAAGGGTAAAAAAAACCTCTTCCCCTGAAATTAAAAAAAAAAATTAGTATTGTATAAAAGATACATTTAAACATACTAAAAAGATTTCTTATGCGGCTGGCTCCCACACCCACAAACATCTCATCAAATTCTGATCCAGAAGCATAATAAAAAGGAACATCAGCTTCTCCAGCTACAGCCCGGGCAAGAAGGGTTTTTCCTGTTCCTGGTGGTCCAACTAAAAGAATTCCTATTAAAAAAAAGTATACAAGAATAATTGAAATTAAAAACAAAAACAAATTCTGACATAAATCTTAAAAATGAATAATTAATTTATAATGTTGAGGTTACAAGCACATCAATGACCAATATTTTGAAACATAGCAAAATATATTTCTCTATACTAATAATTCACTTCAGGATCTTCTCCATAACTCATTATCTTGTATCATCTAAATACTGTTTACATATCAGCCATAGACAGGACAAAATCTTGGGGGAAAAGAATATAAACTTATGACTAAGCAAATAAGATTCACATAAAACAGTTTGAGACCAAACAACAAATGTAATGCATGAACCTTGAACTGATGCACCTCCATAAAAAAGCACATCATTTAGGCCTGGCCGGCATGGTTCAGTGGTCGAGCACTGACCTATGAACCAGAAGGTCAGGGCTCAATTCCTGGTCAGAGCACATGCCCAGGTTGTGGGCTCAATCCCCATGTGGGGCATGTAGGAGGCAGCCGATCAATGATCCTCTCTCATCATTGATGTTTATCTCTCTCTCTCCCTCCCTTTCTCTCTGAAATCAATAAAAATGTATGTATTTTTTTTGTTTGTTTCTTTTTTTTTTTTTTTTTTTTTGTTATTGCTTAAAGTATTACAAAGGGTGTTACATATGTATCCATTTTATCCCCCCTCCCTAGACAGTCCCCTAGCTGTATTTTTTTAAAATTCTAGGGGCATCTGTTGAAAATTTGAAAAATGCTGGTGAGTTCATGATATTAAGAAAATAGTGTTTAGTTTTACTTGGTAGACTAAATTATTATTTTTATTTAGGACAATGTCCTTATTCTTACGTGATACATAGCAAAATATTTAGATGTGAACAAAGTAGTTAATGTCTACAGCTTTCTTTCTAATTTTTCTGTATGTTTGAAAATTTTCATAACAAGTTTTTCATGTTAGGATAATAGAATTCCCTGGTTTACATAACTTTTTCATTTTTCAGACATTTCAAAAAGCAACAAAATTGTATTAATGCTATATATTAATATTAAAAATACTTTTTTAAAATATACTAGTATTTTTCTATTGATTTCAGAGAGAAAGGGAAAGAGGGAAATAGAAACATCAGTGATGAGAGAGAATCATTGATCAGCTGCCTCCTGCATGCCCCCTACTGGGGATCGAGCCCACAATCCAGGCATGTGCCCTTAACTGGACTTGAACCTGGGACCCTTCAGTCCACAGGCCCTTGCTCTATCTACGGAGCCAAACCAGCGAGGGCTAAAAAACTCTCTTTAAGAAAAACTCCAAAATATCCTGCAGACTATACTTGTATTCTCATGTTATTGTTGTTCCAAAATGGTTTAAATCATCCTCATATCAATTTCTGTAGAGTATATCTTGGTACCTGAGAATTTTCCCACAAATTTATAAAATATTACTTTGATCAGAAAGAAAAATAATTTTTGTTTGTTTTAAACATGTTCCTTATGACGTTACAGTACTGATTTAATAAGTGAACTCTACATTAAGAAAGATTCATGCATAAAAGAGAAAAAAAAGATTCATGCAGATATTTTTATATACTAGTGAACAGTCTCAGTAGAGATACTATAGAGTATAAAAACAAGCCTTATATAGTAGTGCCTCTTGAACTCACTAAATCCATTTCTAGCACTGGAATCTACAATAATTTACAGATAGCAAATGAATAAATCTAGAATTTGTTCTAAGGAAATAATTAAGCATGTAGGCAAAGCCTTAAGATATTAAGATAGTCACAACAGTGCTAGTTTAAATAGTAAAAGATAAGAAATAATTTAAAAGTTCAATATAAATGGTTAAACTAAAGTATCCTTCTAGAAGGACACTATAAAGTCATTACAATTCTGTACCTAAGTCCAATATTGGGTTTTTCCCTCACATCAACAAGCAATTTTGATATCAGCTGTTTATCCTACAATTCAATTCAATTCTGATACTACCTGGAGAAAGCATTAGATTTCCACAAGTTAAGAACTCAGTACCATACACTGTTCCCCGCTCCCTCTTGAGAGCTTTCCCAAAGGCAAGACCAGGTTATTTCCTATGCTTTTTGGCTGGTCAAAGGTTCTAATGTCTTCCTCCTTGGATATTGTTAATTTGCTAGAGTAATTCACAGAACTCAGAGAAACATTTATTTAGTAGATTACTAGTTTATTATAGCATGTTTACTTGGAGCAACCATATGGTGGGGCAAGCAAACCCCATCCTTCTGGGTTTCTATGGAGACCTCATTACATAGACATGATTAATTAAATCACTGGACATTGAATACTGATTCAACCTCAAGCCCTTCTCACTCCCCAGAGGTGGGGAAATGGTGTGTGTGTGTGTGTGGGGGGGGCGGGCGGGTGGCGGGCGGGGGTGGTACTAAATGTTCCAACCTTCTAAGCACAAAGTAAGTTCTCCTGGCAACCTGCCCCCATCTTCAGGTGTTTTCTAAAAGTTACCTCATTAACACAACAAAACACACCTTTATTTTAATATATATATTTATTGATTTCAGAGAGGAAGGGAGAGGAAAGAGAGATAGAAACATCAACGATGAGAGAGAATCACCGATCGGCTGCCCCTTGCACACCCCCTACCGGTGATCGAGCAACCTGGGCATGTGCCCTTGACTGGAATTGAACCTGGGTCCTTTCAGTCCACAGGTCGATGCTCTATCCATTGAGCCAAACCAGGTAGGGTGAAAACATACCTTTAATTGCTCTCTTCACTATGAAATTCCAGGTTTTAAGAGCTCTGTATTAGTAACAGGGACTAAGACCAAATATGTTTTTTACTGTAAATCACAATTATCACACAGTAATTAAAATTCATATTGAGCGTGGCTGGTATTGCTCAGTGGTTGAGCATCAACCCATGAACCAAGAGGTCCCTGGCTCAATTCCTGGTCAGGGCACATGACCAGGTTTTGGGCTTGAACCCCAGTGGAAGGCGTGCAGAAGACAGCCAATCAATGATGTTTCTCTCTCATCAATGTTTCTATCTATCCGTTCCCCTTCTTCTCTCTCTAAAAAATCAATTAAATATATTTTTTAAAAATAAAAAATCATATTGAGTAATAACTGTGAGAAAACATCAGACAAAACCAAACTGAGAGTCATTCTACAAATTTATGTGTACTCTATACAATTTTGAAGATCATAAGAAAACCCATCCTTATCCCTGTTTAAAAAAAAAAAAAGCTGAGGAATTTTTTCAGATTAAAGAAAATCTAAATGTTATATGTGAACATGAATTGGGTCCTCAACCTGGGTTGGGAGTGCAATGAGGGAACTTAACTAAAAAGGTTATTATTGGGACAAATACTGAAATTTGAATTTGATAAATTTTAGATCATTGTTAAGTTTCCCGATTTTAATAACTGTACTGGAGTTATGTAAAGAAAATATCCTTATTCTTAAGAAATATATAATGAGCTATTTAGAAATAAAGAAGCATACATGATGTAATATTTAGAACTTCCTCTCAACTGTTCAAAAAATACATGTATGTAAAGAAAGTGAATGAGCAAGTAACCCAAAATGTTGTGCATGGGTTGAGTAGAGTTCTTTGTCAGATTCTTACAAACTGACTTAAAGTTTATATGATAAAATTTAAAATTACACAAAAAAGGGTTATAGAAAGGTATGTTCAGAATGAGCAGTTATTTATGAAATAGTAATTAAGCACTAAACTTTAACCAGTTAAATCTGATAACAATTAAGTTAGTAATATATTACACTATTTTTTTTATCGTAAATATGGTAAAGGGAAAATATCTTACCTTTCGGAAGTTTGCCTCCAAGCACAGTAAATTTTTGTGGATTTTTCAAGAATTCCACAACTTCCTGTAACTCTTGTTTAGCTTCCTCCACCTAAAATGACACAATTTACCAAACAATTTTAAATAAAGATTTGATTATCAAGGCCTGCTCCCTGGAAATTGGAAATTTAATTGGAATTTTTTTTTTGTTTCAGTAAAAGGAGTATACAAAAAATATCCCTTTATAAATATACAAAGAGTTTTTTCCTGGCCCTTACTGCCAATTATGCAAAGTCTCCTTATATATCTCAACAAAATACATTTTAAACTTCTTTCATTTTCAAAAAATATTGTTTCCTCCAGTTAACAAAAACTATTATATTAAAAACTCTATTCAAATGTGTCAGTGATATTTGATCAAGTTTAAAATCCAGAATTTTTTTGGACCTGGTTATAGGCTTCAAGGGCAAATTATGTGGACTTACTATATTTTATTAATGATAAGTATATTACTGTATGATATGTTACTAACAGTATATTGCCATGCTATATTAATGATAAGGAATCTGTGTTTAACTTAAAACATTAATTTGTGATTATGAGGCTGTTTTCATTATACGGAATTTCTACTAGATTATAAATTATTCAGTTCCTCATAAACACCAAAAGGCATTAACTAGAATTGAACTATGATGTAATGATTTATTTTTAATCTTTATTGTTGAAAGTATTATATAGGTCCTCCTTTTTGTAATGATATTTTGTAAAGGGATATGGCCAAAAAAAGTTTAGAAGATTTAATCCCCAAAATATTGTTTGCAGAACTGTCATTTTTAGCACGAATGAAGCCCAATCTCGCCAACAAAAATAGTAAGTAGAGCATTAGCTCACTTTTTAAAACTCTGATGTAAGATTACAAAAGCTCCCTTTCAGAAATGGTGAGACATTTTCCTAGTTAGCATACTAGAAAAGTCACAAATGCAAATGATATCAAAAGTCACTACTGCCAGAATGATACCAAAAATTAGTGCAGAAGGCCAGATGTTAAACAACATAGGTGCCCTAGCCAATGTAGCTCAAAGGTTGGAGCATCAGTCCACACACCAAAGGATCACAAGTTCGATTCCCAGTCAAGGGAATGTACCTGGGTTGCAGGTTCGATCCCCAGCCCAGGTCAGAGTGCCTTTGGGAAGCAACCAATGGATGTGTCTCTCTCACACTGATGTTTTTTTCTCTCTCTCTCTCCTTCTTTCTTCTCTCTCTCTCTCTCTCCCTCTTTCTTCTCTCTCTCTCTCTCTCTCTCCCTCTTTCTTCTCTCTCTCTCTCTCTCATCAATAGCTCCATGAACAAATAATGAACATTAGGTCTTTAGGTCCTTTATTCTCTCTTCCTCTAGCAAACATTGTTCTTTGTTCAAATACATGCATGGCTTTCCCCATCTTCTTCATATCTTCACTTATGTGTCACCATCTCAGTTAATCATTCCCTGAACACCCCAATTAAAATTGTGACCTTTAGGCCCTTGCCGGTTTGGCTCAGTGAATAGAGTGTTGGCTTGGGGACTGAAGGGTCCTGGGTTCGATTCTGGTCAAGAGCACATTGCCCGGGATGTGGCTCAATCCCCATCAGGGGGCGTGCAGGAGGAAGCCAATCAATGGTTCTCTCTCATCATTGATGTTTCTATCTCTCTCTCCCTCTCCTTCCTCTTGGAAATCAGTAAAAAAAAAAAAAAAAAAAAAAAAAAAAAAAGGTCACCTTTAGAAATTTTGAAAATGGCAGCAGAATGGATAGAAGTTACTCTCACCTCTTCCCAGGACCATATCAGAGTAGTGACTAAAGTACAGAACAATCAACTTGAATAATCATCTGTCCTCTAGTTGAACAGAAGGCTTATAACTAAGAATTTACAGAGGAACCCGCATTGAAACAGGTAGGAAGGGCATGTGCGGTGGGTGAGAATCCTTTGGGCTATTTTGGGTGAGAGTTCCCTTAGAGAAGCATCAGCCCTATGCCAGGTTACCTAGCCCAAAGCACTAGAGCCCACACGGTATGTGGCTGCGAAAATCAGCAGGATTCCACACACCATCATGAGCAGTGGGAATGCTCTCTTAAAGGGTCAGTGCACAAACATGGTAATCACCTTGGCCTCTACCAGAGAACAGCTGCTGGGGGTGAACTGGAGTCACAAAGGGAAACAGAAAATCTGAACAGACCAATTAAACCAATGAAATCAAAGAAGTAATCGAAAAACTTCCAACACTCTCTTTGTGCATCTACTATGAGGATGAAGACCATTGTCAGCAATCTGACTGTTGACATTCCAGAAAATGTCCACATCACTCTGAAGGGACTGTGAAAAGCCCCAGAGGCACCCTGTGAGGAACTTCAACCATGTCAATCTAGAATAGTCTCCTTGGGAAGAAAAAGAAGAGGCTCCAGGCTGACAGATGGTGGAAAATAGAAAGGAACTGGCCACCATTCACACAATCTGCAGTCATGTACAGAACATGATCAAGGGTATTACAATGGGCTTCCATTACAAGGTTGAGGTTTGTGTATGTTCACTTCTCCATCAATGTCGTTATTCAGGAGAATGGTTCTCTTATTGGAATCAGAAATTTCTTGGGCAAAAAATATATCCACAGGTTTCAGATGAGATCAGGTGTTGCTTGTTCAGTAACTCAAGTCCAGAAAAATGAGTTAATTTTTAATAGATATGACAATGAATTTGTATCAAATTCAGCTGCTTTGATTCAGCAAGTCACAACAGTTAAAAACAAGGATATCAGAAAATTTGGGATGATATCTATTTCTGAAAAAGGAACAGTTAAGCAGGCTGATGAATAAGACCTACGTTGTCCAGCTATAGAAACAGCAAGATGCCCAATCTTCCTTCAGACTTATTTGGGACATTTTAAATATGCAAAACAGCCATGTTTTGACTTGGAGGGAAAGAAAACTCTCCAAGAAAACAAAGGTTCTAGGCCTGACTGGTTAGAGCATCAAGCAGATATGCTAAGGTTGTAAGTTCAATCCTCAGTCAGGGCACATAGAAGAATCAACCAATGTCCCTAGCTGGTTGGCTCAGTGCTTGGAGGTCAGCCCTTAGACCAGCCGTGGGCAAACTACGGCCCGCGGGCCGTATCCGGCCCGTTTGAAATGAATAAAACTAAAAAAAAAAAAAGACCGTACCCTTTTATGTAATGATGTTTACTTTGAATTTATATTAATTCACACAAACACTCCATCCATGCTTTTGTTCCGGCCCTCCGGTCCAGTTTAAGAACCCATTGTGGCCCTCGAGTCAAAAAGTTTGCCCACCCCTGCCTTAGACTAAAGGGTCCTGGGTTCAATTCTTGTGAAGGGCACATGTGGGATGCAAGCAATAGATGTGTCTCTCTCAAATCAATGTTTTCCCCTCTCTGTCTCTCCCCTTCCCTTTCCCTCTCTCTAAATATCAATAGAAAAATATCCTTGGGTGAGGATTAACAAAACAAAAATAAGAATCAACCAATGAATACATGAATAAGTGGAAAAACAAATCAATGTTTCTGTCTCTCTCTCCCTCTCTCTCCCTTCCTTCTTCCCCCCATCTCTCTCTCTCTCAACTCTCAAATCAATAAATTAAGAAAAAGAAAAGGTTCTTAACCAGATGTCTTCAAAGGTCAATTTTACTAAACATTCAAAGAAGAACCTATCCTCCTTAAACTATTCTAATATTTTCAGGAGGAGGAAAGACTCTCATGCCATCTTATGAGGTCAGCATTATTCTGATTCCAAAACCAGAAAAAGACATTACAAAGAAATAAAGTGATAGGCCAATATCCCTGATGAACATAGATGCAGAAATCCTCAGCAAAATATTAGTAAACCAAATTCAGCAATACATAAAAAGATTATACATCATGATCAAGTGAGATTTATTGCTGGGGTGCAAGGTTCGTACAGTATCCCCAAATCAATTAATGTGATACATCTCATAAATAAAATGGGTAAGAATCATAAGATCATATCAATAAATGCAGAATAAGCATATTGACAAAATCCAGCACCCATTTATAACAAAATCTATCAGAAAGGTAAGAATAGAGGGAACATACCTCAACATAATAATATGACATACCTACAACTAGCATCATATTCAACAGGGAAATACTGAGTGTTTGCTTTAAGATCAGTAACAAGAGAGGAGTGTCCACTTTCACCATTCTTACTCAACATAGCCACAGCAATCAAAAAGAAGAAATAGCCGCTCCTGGTGCTGCTTGTGTGCTCGTTTGGTGCGGACCTGGTACCTCTTTTGTGAAGCGGCAGCTGAGGAGACTCCGGCGCTCGCCATGGCCGACGAAAAGCCCAAGGAAGGAGTCAAGACTGAGAACAACGATCATATTAATTTGAAGGTGGCGGGGCAGGATGGTTCTGTGGTGCAGTTTAAGATTAAGAGGCATACACCACTTAGTAAACTAATGAAAGCCTATTGTGAACGACAGGGTTTGTCAATGAGGCAGATCAGATTCCGATTTGACGGGCAGCCAATCAATGAAACAGACACACCTGCACAGTTGGAAATGGAGGATGAAGATACAATTGATGTGTTCCAGCAGCAGACAGGAGGGGTCTACTAAAAAGGGAACCTGCTACTTTACTCCAGAACTCTGTTCCTCCAGACCAAGAAGACATTCTCAATTAGAAAACTGCAATTTGGTTTCAACACATCTGACTACTACAGTATAGTTTTCTCTATTCTTTCATTTTCCCCTTCCCCATTCTTTTATTATTGTACATAAAGTAACGGATGTATGTGCACAAGCATTTGCATTTTTTTTTTTTTTTAACTAAATGGCCAATGGTATGTTTTGATCTACATCAAATGGAGATGGGATGGGGGAAAAATACTGGTTCTGTGAAAACACCCCCTTTCTCCATTAGTGGCATGCTCATCCAGCTCTTATCTTTATATTCCAGTAAGTTATTTTGCTCTCACTGTTTAACAAAAAAGAACAACATAAAAATTCTTGCATACCTTGTTTGATTGGAGAATTTTAATGTTTTTCATTTATCATTGTAAAACCAAGGACAATTTTATAACTTTTTTGTACGTAGCTGTTACAT